TACCCAGCTAGGCAACTAGGAGGTGGGGCCCAGGGCGGGTCTCTTGTCTCCAACACCCTCCTTCAACTTGACCTCTTTCACCGCCACAAAGGCAAATGTTCCAAGATTCCTAAGTGCAAGCCTTTCTTAAAACGGCACACCACCCGGACCCTTGTTCTGCCTGTGGCACACTGTTTCTAACTCCTTCTTTAACTCCCTCTGACAACTCTGACCCAGCCAACCAATCTCCCCCTTCTCCCACTTTCATCCTCCTCCCTCACTACTCGATAACACCCCGGTGGCAGCCATGGTAGCTACAGCAAAAATTGAGCCAAGTGGGCTGCCTCTTCCTACTCCCTCCCCACTTTGTCGGCCCACACTCACTCCGGATGTCACTGTAAACCTCTCAAACTTAGCCATTGCTTTGTTAAGCCCTGGCCAGGCCATGTGGCTTTTTGAGCTATGGCCACCATGTTCTCCTAAGCTTTGGCCTCCTCCCCTGCCTTAGGGAGGTGAATCTCGTCTCTCTCTCTCTCTCTCTCTCTCTCTCTCTCCAATTTACCTTCTAAATAAACTATATTTTTCCCATCTAAAAATAAATAAATAAACCTCTCAAACTTGTTCATCAGCTTTCCCTTTGAAAAGTGGCTGAGGTGGGAGGTATTATTAAAGTTCATGTTCCTTTTTTTTTTTTTTTTTTGAATTGGAGTCTCACTCTGTCGCCCAGACTGGAGTACAGTGGACGCTCCTGGCCTCCGAAGTCTCGACCTGCTGGGCTCCGGCGATCCTTCTGCCTCTGCCTTCCAAGTAGCTGGAACTACAGGCACACGCTACCACACCCAGCTAATTTTTTTTTTTGAATTATTGTAGAGATGAGGTCTTGCCAAATTGCCCAGGTGGGTCTCGAACCTGCAGGCTCAGGCAATCCACTCACCTCAGCCTCCCAAAGGTGCGGGATTATAGGCTGAGCCACTGAGCCCGACTCATGTTCCTTTTTTAAATGATAAATCTCTCTCAAATTAAATCTAAACTGGGACTATGAGCCCTCCCCCCCGCAAGACAGAAACAAAAGGACAATTTATTGATCAACAAATCCTGTTACTCACAGGAAAAAAACAGCTTATTGTCATTCTAATCTGCTTTTTTTTTTTTCTGAGTTGGAGTCTTACTCTGTTTCGCAGGCTGGAGTGCAGTGGCACGCTCCCAGCCACCATAGCCTAGATCTACTGGGCTCAGGCGATCCTTCTGCATCAACCTTCCAGTTTAGCTGGAGCTACAGGCACATGCTACCACGCCCAGCTAATATTTGCTTTTCCAAACCAAACTTCCCAGTGCTCTAGTAAAATCTTACTTTCTACAACTTTACCTTGTGCTAAAACAGTGCTAGATAACACCAGTGTTTATTAGGTCAGGTCTGCTAAAAGTTTTTTTGAGAAAAACGT